CTTGTGCCTTCCCTCTGCGGAGCCAGGACCAGGGCACAAACAGCCCACGCACAACACCCTGGCTGGGGACAGTTCATTTTCCACCCCAACCCTGTGCTGGAGTGGGCTGTTCGGAAGGGAGGACAGCCGAAGGAGGTGACTCCCTGGCTCTGGTGCAGGAAGGTCCCTGCAGGGTGCCAGCTTGGGGATGGCAGTGGTGTGTCCCCTCCAGAGGCACCCAACACCCACCGGCACTGGGGGCACAGGCTTGTGCCCAGCATGTGAGGTGCCAAGGCTTGGGGCCTTCCTGGGGCTGAAAGAAGCAACTCTTGACTAATGCCACCCCTCCAAAACATCCCCAGGGTGCTGGAGACATGAGTTCAGCCATGAGCCAGGTTGGTCCTGGCTCCTCCAACACCAGCACCTGCTCCAGGGATGGAGCTGGAGGTACGCAGGATGCAGGCTATGGCAGAGAGAGTCTGATGGGTCTGAGGGAGGAAAAGGAGACAAATGGCTCTTCCCAAGGGAGAGAGGGTCTTTATTAACCACCCGGCAGATGGTGAGGAACAGGGTGATGGTGAAGGACCAAGGTGATGGTGAGGAACCCGTGGTACCAGGCTGGGGGGTTCCCACTCAGGTCAGGGCAATGGCTCGGAGCTGAGCCCAGCCCTCACCCTGAGCCGTGCCAAGGTCTGTGCCCCCCAGAAGCCCCCCTTGGCCCCTCGTCGCATTGGGACCATAGTCCAGACACAGCCCCGCTGCCAATTTAGGGGGAGGATGCTGTTGTGGGGGCATCTCCCAGCCCTGGGGGCTGTTGCAGCGTAATGGTGACAACAAGGTGAGAGGCAGAAGCAGGCACTGTTTCGGGGATGCTGATGTAGACCATGTGCCCCTCTCGCCAGGTCTCAGCACCATGGGTCCCCTCAGCCCCACATCCCCTGTGCAGGAGAACTGGGGGGTGGTCCTCCTGAGCCATGGTCCAGGCTTGGCACAGCACCAGGGTCATCCTGAGCCATGGGCTCTGCACAGCAGCCAGCACTGGCCTGTGCCTGGGGCTGCTGGCTCAGGGGTCCTGCTGCCACAGGGAGATGTGCTCCTGGGCTGTGATGGGATGCAGAGAGTCAGTGCCCCCCACACCAGGGATGACCCAGAGGTCTGGGCACGGCTGGCAGAGGGGCACAGACCTGGCAGAGCTGGGGGGCAGCACCACCAGTGCTCGGCACCCCCGAGAAGGTGCAGGAGGGCTCCTGGCCACTCACTCACCAAACTGGCAGATGTACCGGTTTCGGGTCTTGCAGCGCTGGTCATTCCAGTTGAAGGCAGCCAGTGCTTGCATCTCCACACAGTTCCCAAACCTGTGCCCCAGCAGGAGGATGGTAAAGCCAGCCAGTGTGGTGGCACAGCGGTGACGCCGCACAGAGGTTGGCTGTCCTCTGGATCCAGCAGGCACTTACCCCTGGTTGTCTGGCTGCCCAAAGGCGAAGCTGGTGAAGGAGGACGGCTCACCCATGTCCCAGCGGAAGGAAGCCTTGGACGTCTTGTAGGTGAGACCTGGGGGAGCAGGAGGCAAGGTGGCACATCTGCCCACACCCCGGGCACCCCGCACACTGCCTGCTGCTGTCACTCACCGATCCAGAAGTTCCCGGTCTCGAAATCGGTGTCTGTCACCCTGTTACTGGTCTCCAAGCGGCTGAGGTAGAAAGACAGGATGTCCTGGACCTTTTGGTTTCTGATCTGCGCCAGCATTGCCCCTTTCTCCTGCAGGGAAGGGAGCAAGTCAGCCCCAAACACGTGGGCCAGACCAGCACCAGGCAGTGGAGAGATGCAGGCGGGGGTGCTATAAGCACAGGTGGCATTTTTCAGCTGCAGAGGGACGCCCGGAACATCCCAGGGGCTCACCTGGCACTTTATTTTGGCCCCGTAGTAGGTGTCAGCCTCGGGGGACACCATGAAGCAGTTGCCGTCTATCTGCACGTCACAGGTGTGGAAAGGGAACCGAATCTTCGCTGGGGACACAGGCAGGCACAGGTGGGTCCCTGTGCCAGCAGAGCCAGGCCCACCGGAGGACCCTGAGCCCCACTCCAGCGGTCCCTGCCTGCAGATCCCTGCTGCCACCCTGAAGCAGCGCAGGTGGGCACAGACTCACTGCCGCACTCGGCTCCACCGTAGCCCACGTCACAGAGGCAGGAGCACTCCTCCTTCCTGAACTTCCCGTGGAGGCACTGCCCGCTGCACCTCACTGCAGGCAAGACGCTGCGTTAGCTGGCAGGGGGTTCAGTAGCCCCTGCCCACTCCAGCTGACCTTGTGCTGCACATCGGGGCACTGCACTGAGCTGCCCATGCTGCACTGGCCATGTACACACATGTACTGAGCTGACCTGGTGCACGCACATGCTGCACCATTGTGTGCACACGGGCACTGAGCAGGCCGTGAATGCTGCACTGGTCATGCCCATGCACTGACCCTGTGCCTGCATGCACTGCACCAGCCATGCACACGCATGCACTGCACTAGCCATGCACGTGCATGCACTGCACCAACCCTTTGCATGCACGCACTGCCGTGGCCATGCACATGCATCTCTAGAGGCGAGTGGGGGTAGGGGTTGTGCAGGTGCCCCTCTCACCTTGGCAGTACCTGCCCGTGTAGCCGGGGGGACAGGCACACTGGCAGCTGCTCATGTCAAGGTGCCCGCTGTTCCTGCAGCTCATGCGACAGGGGTTCCTGGGCACCTCTGGGCAAAGCAGAGAGGCGGCGTGGGTGTCAAGGGCTGCGGCACGGCCAGGGGCCACACAGGGCCCAGGGGGACCGCGGGAACTCACCGCAGAGCC